GCCGCTGACGGCAAAGTACTAAAAACTTCTCGCTAAAGGTGTAGCTGACTGGAAGAAATAGCGATACCGGTAGTTTTCAATAAAATGCTACTCAGTAAAACTAGTCCGCTAAGCGCTGCTTTCAAACCTTCTTCCAAAATTTGCAATTATGCCGCCGATTCATTCGGAAAAAAACCTTGTTACGTTACTAGGCAGTTGAAAAATCAGTCAATAATAAAAGCAATGTTCAACAAGAAGAAAATGACCAAGTGACGATTGTAAAATTCAAAGATGAAAAGCGATAAGCTGGCAACAACCCACTTTCCATTTCCCATCAAGAAAATCACCACGCTGAGCATTTCGCATGAGAGTTCAGATTGTCTGGCTCTTATTACATTATTTCCTGTCGAGAACAGACTCCATTGATGTTCTCAAAAACATTTCCGATCTGATTCGATTTTCAGGTGAAGTCCTAGCTCATAGAATAATCTATTCGTTCAAGTTTTTATCTTCGAATGGGTTGCATGTCATGAATGCAGACGGTTCGGCTCAAATAAATTATTGGCTGAGGTAGCAAACAGGACGTTTGAAACTGAGCAGAAACAAGAGGAAAATTTTGAAAAATAAGGAGACGTTCGTTCATTGGGCTGTCACAAAATTTATTGAGAGTCAAATAGTATAGTGAGCTCAGATGCTCGTGATGCACTTGCTCATTAGAGCGCTAACGAAAGAAAATAGTGCTACTCTGGGCTATTACAAAATTATTGTAGCGGAAGTTATCGTTTAGTGATGTTTTGTTCCACACTTTTAACAAATGTTCTGTTCCGCTCTTCAAATATTCTGTCCTGTTCCATTCTGTACGTCCTTTTTTCAGTTTTTCTCCATCTTGATATTTCAAAAGCCATTCTGTTATGTTCTGTCGCCGCAACACGACATTTCAAACAGCTCTGTTTCGCTCTTCAATTGTTCTTTTTTGGAACAGTTCCGATTTTTTGAGACCGACATAGAGCAGTTTGAATGGAATAGAAACATCACTATTATTTCTAGGAACTTTCCGCTATATGAAAAAAACAGTATTGTTTTACCGAAAAAAGCAGCTCCGCTAGCAGCGGAACAGTGAATAGCAAGCTACCGCTCTCTTTTGGTAATGTATAGTTGCAATATTTGCCGCCAGTACACCTTCAACCTAAATGTTGAGTTCAAATGATTAGAAATTCCAGAACTTGACAAAATATCTACATCTATGGGCGTTAAGACGATTCCGAAAGTGTGCCTATAAGGTTTCGGTGCTCAAACTTCCTCGCATACTGTCGAACAGTGATGTCGCTATTCCACAACTGCTTTGGGTTTGCAAAATCCCGACGATTTTTCAATCCCGGGATCGGGATTTAATCCCGGAATAACCCCGGGATCGAACAGTTATTGAAATATCGATGCGGGACATGTTTAAACACATTTTTTTCGAACCAATATGTTCATTATTATTCAGAAAGGAGCTAATTCAACAAATTGTTGAACAAATCCAAGGAACTAAGCATTCAAATTAATATTTCATATAATGATGCCAATGATCATGTCGTAAGGGCATACTGCATTTCTATGCTAAGACATCTTGTCATCTCGGGTCTAAGCTAATAACAGTACACTTGCATGTGAATATGAAATTCTTGATTCTCAAACACTTATTTGCAGTGCTTTAACTCCATTTTCTCTCAGCATTAACATCAAGTGAATTCTGCCATTTCGGAAATTTCGATTTTTTACAAAAAATGCATCGCATGAATTATATCACTTGAGTTTTGGAAAATTTGAAAGTTTAGAGTTTATCTAAAAGGTGAAAAAACATCTGCAATGGATTTTCATCGAACCATCGAGCACTTACATGTTTGATAATTTCGATCAAAAATCATGCAAATGTACTTGATATTCAAGCCTAAGATCCTTTTGAATGGAACAACTTTGCTCACTTTGGCAATGAATTCTCACC